CCGAGGTAGACAATCCCCTTGACTACTGGGGGCAACGAAACTTGACCTTTGGCCCCAACTAGCTGAATTTGCCCTTGAAAGGCTGTCATGCCCGGCCAGTAGCGTGGCATCGGAGCGCTGTGTTTAGTGCGGCAGGAGGTATTGCAACTCCGCGGAGGACAGCGACTGTCCACCCAAAGTGTGGAGAGACTGACGTTTGTGAAAATGAATCAGGCGTGGATTAGTCCTGGATTTCAAACCACCAGTTCCTGACACAACTGACTAAATCCGCCATGAATCATGCCCCAAACATGTGCCACTTTCAGGTCTCCTCACACTGCTGGTGTGTTCCATTTTTTGTCATAGGGTGCTGGCAGATTACGGGCCTCCCATAGCTGCTGCCAGGCCCCTAATCTGCCATGGGCCCCTATACCGCCTTCCTCATGGCTGCTAGCTGCCAAGTCCAGAGTCTCTCCTCATGGGTCCCTGTACGGCCTCCCATTGCTGCTGTCTCCATCGCCACACTCTGCCATGTGCCACTTTCAGGTCTCCTCACACTGCTGGGTGTATTCCATTTTTTGTCATAGGGTGCTGGCAGATTACGGGCCTCCCATAGCTGCTGCCAGGCCGCTAATCTGCCATGGGCCCCTATACCGCCTCCTCATTGCTGCTGCCAGGTCCAGAGTCTGTCATGGGTCCCTGTACGGCCTCCCATTGCTGCTGTCTCCATCGCCACACTCTGCCATGTGCCACTTTCAGGTCTCCTCACACTGCTGGTGGGTTCCATTTTTTATCATAGGGTTGCTGGCAGATTACGGGCCTCCCATAGCTGCTGCCAGGCCCCTAATCTGCCATGGGCCCCCGTACCGACTCCTCATGCTGCTGCCAGGCCCGTAATCTGTCATGGGCCCCTGTTGTCGCTTGTTGGCATATTCCGCTCGTTCAGATGCTCCTTCTCCTGCTACTCCTCTTCACGGATTCCGTCAGCAGTCTTTCTTGGAATCCGTTTCCAAGAGACAACAGTTTTGCGAGCACGCACCAGACGGTGCAGAAACTGAACGTCCTCCTGTCCAAGTTGCTGCTGCCAGGCTCGTAATCTGTCATGCGCCCCTGTACCGCCCTCCTCATTGCTGCTGCCAGGTCCAGAGTGTGTCATGGGCCCCCGTACCGACTCCAAATGCTGCTGCCAGGCCCGTAATCTGTCATGGGCCCCTGTACCGCCTCCCCATGCTGCTGCCAGGTCCAGATTGTGTCATGGGGTCCCTGTACGGCCTCCCATTGCTGCTGCCAGGCCTGTAATCTGCCATGGGCCCCCGTACCGACTCCTCATGCTGCTGCCAGGCCCGTAATCTGCCATGGGCCCCTGTACCGCCTCCTCATGCTGCTGCCAGGTCCAGAGTGTGTCATGGGTCCCTGTACGGCCTCCCCATTGCTGCTGTCTCTATCGACCACACTCTGCCATGTGCCACTTTCAGGTCTCCTCACACTGCTGGTGGTTTTCCATTTTGTCATAGGGTGCTGTATGGCCTCCCATTGCTGCTGCCTCCACCGCCACATGTGGCTCCACACTTGTGGTTTTGGCCCCGTGACTGGCCAAATGAGTGAAGTGTGCGGTGATTCTAAGATCGACGGCACTCATCTGCATGTCATACTGCCTGACAGTATTATTTCTCTTCCCCAGCTAGGACTCCAAGGGCATTTAAATTAAAGGTACAGTGTTCAGCACTAATATTAAGTCTCTCTGAAGCCTAGAAACACCCTTTTTTAAGTTAAATTCACAGCGAATATATTCGACTCGAATCAAAATTTTTCCACGAATTCGCCGAATCAGTCGAATCGAATTTTTGAATACTTCGCTCATCTCTAGTTTACACATATTCAGACCTCTGGAAACCAAGGTGGAGATGATTTAAAATAGAACAGGGATAAGTTCTCAACTTTCCACCTTCCATCTTTTTCTTGGACAATCAACATCTACAGCAGTCTTTTTCAACCAGGGTTTCCAGGCAAGTGAATCCTGCGCGCATGTGTGACGTCATCGTGGCTCGGTCATTTAAGCTACCAAAACCCAGGAGAAAGACAGAGTGTAGATGGAAGCCCTTTGATAGTGTGCTTATGGAGGGCTTCATTTAAAGATAAGTTTCACATAATGTGCTAGTACTGTATATGGTACATAGTAGGACATTATGACATTTCCTTGCAGGGGAAAAGTTTTTTTTTTTTTTTTTAATTATCAGGTTTACTTTCACTTTAAGAACTGGTAAGACCAGGAATGCAATGTGCATGTGTGGTAATAGAATTTCTGTCCAATGTACCAACACCAATCCACCAATTATTTTCGGCATGAGGAAGGAACGTAAGTGGAGGGCCAGAAAATAATTAATATATGACATAAAAGAGCTAGCGTGGCTGCTGTGAATAAGAAACTATAAATATTATGTAAATGTGGATGTTCTGCACCTCAAAAATATATCAGACTAAGAAACCAAACCAGGTCCCATTCCTAATATCAAAAATAAGCCAATCTTGGTGCAAATCCATACTAACAAAAACAACACAAATTGAGAAAATATAGCGATAAACAGCGTCACTTGTTGATATCTGAATACCTCAATATGCACACTCAATATAAACAATGTATTGCACTGTTAAAAATCCACTAAATAACTGAATACATCATTCCACTGTGAATTGCAGAATTCGTACAAAATAAATAAACATTGCAAAAGAAAAAATTCCGCTGTGAAACTTTTATACCTTTCACCACCTTCACCAGTTGCAGTGCTTCTGACCACCACCACATCAGTTTACCAGAACATTAGACCTCAACACACAGAGGACTCCATTCACAAAGCAGTATTTTCCTCTTTAAAAATGTAGATAAATACCTCACTGCATTTTTCAAAATATTTTTTGGCATTCAGTGGATATATAGTATACTATATTGCACAAGTATTTAGACGCCTGCCTTTACACGCACATGGACGCACTCCATAGGGGAGAATGGAGCTTCCGATCAGGTTCGCCTGAAAGACGGGCAGGTTGACTCGATTGGAATGTCCGTGTTAAAGAGCACCTTATTCGTGCCATCTTTTGTGCTTGATCCAGAGACACACAGTGATCAAACCACCACCAGATGTACACTCACCTTAAATACACTATATTGCAAAAAAGTATTGGGCCACCTGCCTTTCCACGTACATGAACTTTAATGGCCCCCAGTCTTAGTCTGTAGGGTTCATTATTGAGTTGGCCCCGCCCTTTGCAGCTATAACAGCTTCAACTCTTCTGGGAAGGCTGTACACAAGGTTTAGGAGGGTGTCTATGGGAAGGTTTGACCATTCTTCCAGAAGCACATTTGTGTGGTCAGGCACTGATGTCGGGGGAGGAGGCCTGGCTCAGTCATCCCAAAGGTGTTCTATCAGGTTGAAGTCAGGACTCTGTGCAGGTTAATCAAATTCCTCCACTCCAAACTCACTCATCATCCATTTCTTTATAGACCTTGCTTTGTGCACTGGTACGCAGTCACGTTGGAACAGTTTGGGGATGGTCCCTTCCTGTTCCAACAAAGTTGGGAGCATGAAATTTCCAAAATGTCTTGGTATGCTGACACCCTAAGAGTTTCCTTCACTGGAATTAAGGGGCAAAGTCCAACCCCTGAAAAACAACCCCACATCATAATTCCCCTCCACCAAACTTTACGCTTGGCACAATGCAGTCAGGTGAGTACCGTCAAACACAGACACATCCATCAGATTTCCAGACAGAGAAGCATGATTGGTCACTCCAGAGAACACGTCTCCACTACTCTAGAGTCCAGTGGCGATGTGCTTTACACCATTACATCCGCCGCTTTGTATTGCACTTGGTGATGTAAGGCTTGGATGCAGCTGCTCGGCCATGGAAACCCATTCCATGAAGCTCTCTATCACTGTTGTGCTAATCTGAAGGCCACACCAAGTTTGGAGGTCTTTAGCTATTAACTGCAAACAGTTGGTGAGTTTTGCGCACTGTGCGCTTCAGCATGCACTGACCCCGCTCTCTCATCTTACGTGGCCTACCACTTGGTGGCTGAGTTGCTGTGGTTCCCAGTTGCTTCCACTTTGTTATAATCCCACTAACAGTTGAGCGTGGAATGTTTAGTAACCAGGAAATGTCACGGATAGAGTTATTGCACAGGTGACCACCTATCACGGGACCACGCTTGGAGCCACTGAGCTCCTGAGAGCGACCCATTCTTTCACAAATGTAGAAGCAGTCTGCATGCCTAGGGGCTTGATTGTATACACCTGTGGCCATGGAGGGGATTGGAACACCTGAATCACATGATTTGGTGGGCGGGACCAATACTTTTGCCAGTATAGCATATGTCGCAACACTTTTGATCCCCAGGATAAATTTAGCAACGCTTTGACATTTGGTGCATTTCAGCACAAGTGGCACATTTTAGAACTACTTGAATTTGGTGCACAAGTTGCTGTCAGAACCGCAAGGGTCTCAAATGCTTCATGAATTTGGCACAAAGAGGAGTTAATGCCAGAAAAGTGGCGCAGCAGCTTTATTGAATTCCCCCCCATTGAATTAAAGTAGTTTATAGAACCCACCTTAAGTAGACCATACACGTGGCAACTTTCAGCCAACTTTTCCATTATTTTTGATTGACTAGGAATCAAACATATGATCAGAGGAGGTTACTCAAATTATATATCACTGGTGCTATGTGACCAAAATAATAATAATACAAAAATAATAATCCATAAAAATAAATGAATGCAATTGTGAAAGTGAATATAACAAATAACAAACTGCAGTTCAAAATTAGTGTTAACCTTTAACTACTTGCCAACCGCAGATAGCCAAATGACGGCTACACTATATGACGTCCTCACCAGAACGCGATCTCCTGTGCACCCACGGGGGCACGCACCCGGCGATCTCCGTGATCGCTGTGTCTTACGGACACAGCTGATCACGTGATGTGGTAAAAGGCCAATCACAGCGGCCTTTTTACCACGTAATCAGCTGTGTCCAATGACATGCTGATCACAGGGAAATGCAATGCTGGTTTTCGTCTGCACTTTCCTCACACTCTCAGAGCATGAGGAAAGTACTGCCAAGAACCAGCAGTTGTTAGAGCAGTGATCGGCACCAATCATCAGGGCACTGATCATCAGTGCCCTGATGATCGGTGCCCAGCAGTGCTGCCCACCAGTCCTGCCCACCTGTGCCCAGCAGTGCACCCACCTGTGCCACCCAGCAGTGCCATACACCTGTGCCCAGAAGTGCCACCTACCTGTGCCCAGCAGTGCCACCCACCTGTGCCCACCCACCAGTGCCACCCACCTGTGCCCACCAGTGCCCATCAGTGCAGCCCAGCAGTGCTGCCAGTCAGTGCCACCAGTCAGTGCCCAGCGGTTGTGCCAGTCAGTGCCCAGCAGTTGCGCCAGTCAATGCCTAGCAGTGCTGCCAGTCAGTGCCCAGCAGTGATGCCAGTCAGTGCCACCTATCAGTGCTGTCTACCAGTGCCACCTATCAGTGCTGCCTATCCGTGACACCTCATTAGTGCTGCCTATCAGTGCCACCTATCAGAGCTGCCTATAAGTGCCCATCAGTTCTGCCTATCAGTGCCCATCAGTGCCGCCTATTAGTGCCCATCAGTGCTGCCTCATCAACGCACATCAGTGAAGGAGAAAAATTACCTGTTTGAAAAAATTTATAATAGAAATAAAGAAAAACTTTTTTTCACATTTTTTGCAGTTTTTTGTTTATAGCGCAAAAAGTAAAGTGCCCAGCGGCGATTAAATACCACCAAAAGAAAGCTCTATTTGTGAGAAAAAAATGATAAAACTTTCATATGGGTACAATCTTGCATGACCACGCAATTGTCAATCAAATTGTGACAGCGCTGAAAATTGGCCTGGTAAAGAAGGGGGTATAAGTGCCCAGTAGGCAAGGGGTTAAACACTTAAATAATATGTGTAATAAGTGAACCGCACTCAGTAACCATTATCAAATGTGCATAAAATCCCTTGATAAATTCAGCTTGGGCTATTGAGTTCTGTAAACAATACTTTTTCCAGCAAAGCAGATAAGAATAGCCTGCAAAACATTGTAAAACCAGCCAAGAGCTCTACCCTCCTGGCTAGAAAAATGTAAAACTATTAATATGGTTATCTTTATCAAGCCCAATAACTCTTGCTGGAATTTGCACAATTAGCTGACTGAGCTTAACCATCCAAATCTGCATTTTACAATCCCTTGTAAATAACCTCTTTTGAAAAGTTGAATTGGACAGCAGAAAGCCATCAGCCATCCTTTTTATCCTTTTGTTGTGTTAAACATAGTTGACCTGTGTCAAAATATGGCCCTGTATACTGTGTGTGTAAATATATATATACAAGAGAGGATTTTGCTCGCTTTAGAAACCTCAGCTTGGCATTGCATGCCATTATTATTCTTGTGATCTACCAGATCTCCCAGATCCTTCTCCACCATTGACCCCCCAGATCCTTCTCCACCATTGATTCCCCCAGATCCTTTTCCACCATTGACCCCCTAGTTGTAACCCCCCCCCTATTATGTATGATGCATGTATATTCTTAGCCCCCAAGTGTAGAAACTTACATTTATCAATATTAAACCTCATTGGCTACATAGTTGCCCAATTACACAGAGCATTGAGGTCGGCTTGTAAATTGAAGAAATTCTGTAAGGACGTTATTCCCCGGCACAGCTTGGTGTCATCTGCAAAGACTGAAATGGGATTTATAATCCCCGACCCTATATTGTTTATAAATATATTACAAAGTAAGGGTCCCAACACTGATCCCTGGGGTACACCACTGACAACACTGAACCTTGGGGTACACCACTGAAAACCCCAGACCATTCAGAGTATGAATCATTAACCACTACTCTCTGAATACAATCTTTTAGCCAGTTTTCTATCCATTTACATATGGATTTTTTCCAAGCCTGTAGACTTTACCTTACACATTAGCCTTGTGTGGGGATCTGTGTCAAGAGCTTTGGCAAAATCCAAGTATACCACATCCACCGCCACCCTTTGTCCAAGTACACCATGTCCACAACCACCCCTCTGTCCAAGTATACCACATCCACCCCCACCCCTCTGACCAAGTATACCACATCCACCCTCACCCCTCTGTCGAAGTACACCATGTCCACAGCCACCCCTCTGTCCAAGTATACCACATCCTCCCCCACCCCTCTGTCCAAGTATACCACGTCCACAGCCACCCCTCTGTCCAAGTATACCACATCCACCCCCACCCCTCTGTCCATGTATACCACATCCACCCCCACCCCTCTGTCCAAGTACACCATGTCCACCACCACCCCTCTGTCCAAGTATACCACGTCTACCACCACCCCTCTGTCCAAGTATACCACATCCACTGACACTCCTCTGTCCAAGTATACCACGTCCACCATTTCCACAGCCACCCCTCTGTCCAAGTATACCACGTCCACAGCCACTCCTCTGTCCAAGTATTCTACGTCCACCACGTCCACAGCCACCCCTCTGTCCAAGTATACCACATCCACCGAAACTCCTCTGTCCAAGTATACTACGTCCACCATGTCCACAGCCACCCCTCTGTCCAAGTATACCACATCCACCCCCACCCCTCTGTCCATGTATACCACATCCACCCCCACCCCTCTGTCCAAGTACACCATGTCCACCACCACCCCTCTGTCCAAGTATACCACGTCCACCACCACCCCTCTGTCCAAGTATACCACGTCCACCATTTCCACAGCCACCCCTCTGTCCAAGTATACCACGTCCACAGCCACTCCTCTGTCCAAGTATTCTACGTCCACCACGTCCACAGCCACCCCTCTGTCCAAGTATACCACATCCACCGAAACTCCTCTGTCCAAGTATACTACGTCCACCATGTCCACAGCCACCCCTCTGTCCAACTATACCACATCCACCGACACTCCTCTGTCCAAGAATACCACGTCCACCATGTCCACAGCCACCCCTCTGTCCAAGCATACCACATCCACAGCCACCCCTCTGTCTCAGTTTTGTCATACAAAAAATAAGGACTCATGCTGTATTTTCCAGTACATGGAAAAATAACACTCACTGATCTCTGTAGGATCACTTCCCACCATCATTTCACCAACAGTGAATGGGGAAAAAGCCATTCAATGCCATATTATTTTTGTGTTACCTAATTCACTGGAACCAGATACTAGAGATGAATACCTTCAATGTATGATGTGTACAGCACCACCACTTTTCCCTTTGTCCTCTCCACAGACGCACCTAGAAAATGCCCGGTGTGTCCATTGTGTGTGTCAGCCTTTCCTTATTTTATGTCTGAACCAGGGGCAAAGTGACAACTCATGGGGCCCCCGGGCAATAGGGGATCATGGGGCCCCTGTGTCCTTGCCCAAACTCAAAAAAGCCTATGAAAAAGGTTCCATGGGCATCTCATGGGGCCCCCTACTGACCCCGGGCCCTTGGGCAGTGCCCGAGTTTCCAAATGGTCAGTCTGCCCCTGGTCTGAACTCCACACAATCCTGACCTGAAGATTATTAAGATTTAATATATGTAAATATTGTTTTATGTCCAAACCCACACAGTCACGTAAGATTATTAAGATACGTTTATATAGCTCTGACATATACCGGAGTGCTGTACAGAGAACACTGAGCCAGTCACATCAGTCTCTGCACCAGAAGAGCTTACACTCTAATGTCCCCCCCCCACAGTCACACACTATTATTATTATTATACATTTATATAGCTCTGACATATACCGGAGTGCTATACAGAGATCACTGAGCCAGTCACATCAGTCTCTGTACCAGAGGAGCTTACACTCTAATGTCCCCCCATAGTCACATCAGTCTCTGTACCAGAGGAGCTTACACTCTAATGTCCTCCCCTCAGTCACACACTATTATTATTATACATTTATATAGCTCTGACATATACAGCAGGGCTGTACAGAGAACACTGAGCCAGTCATATCAGTCTCTGTACCAGAGGAGCTTACACTCTAATGTCCCCTCCCCCACAGTCACACACTATTATTATTATACATTTATATAGCTCTGACATATACCGCAGTGCTGTACAGAGAACACGGAGCCAGTCACATCAGTCTCTGCACCAGAGGAGCTTACACTCTAATGTCCCCCACAGTCACACACTATTATTAAGATACGTTTATATAGCTCTGACATATACCGCAGTGCTGTACAGAGAGAACTGAGCCAGTCACATCAGTCTCTGTACCAGAGGAGCTTACACTCTAATGTCCCCCCATAGTCACATCAGTCCCTGTACCAGAGGAGCTTACACTCTAATGTCCCCCACAGTCACACACTATTATTATACATTTATATAGCTCTGACATATACCATGGTGCTGTACAGAGAACACTGAGCCAGTCACATCAGTCTCTGTACCAGAGGAGCTTACACTCTAATGTCCCCCACAGTCACACACATATTATTATACATTTATATAGCTCTGACATATACCGCAGTGCTGTACAGAGAACACTGAGCCAGTCACATCAGTCTCTGTACCAGAGGAGCTTACACTCTAATGTCCCCCACAGTCACATCAGTCTCTGTACCAGAGGAGCTTACACTCTAATGTCCCCTCCCCCACAGTCACACACTATTATTATACATTTATATAGCTCTGACATATACTGCAGTGCTGTACAGAGAACACTGAGCCAGTCACATCAGTCTGTACCAGAGGAGCTTACACTCTAATGTCCCCCCACAGTCACACACTATTATTATACATTTATATAGCTCTGACATATACCGCAGTGCTGTACAGAGAACACTGAGCCAGTCACATAGTCTCTGTACCAGAGGAGCTTACACTCTAATGTTGTATTGTATCCTGAGGATAAGAAGCCAATAAACATGTTTATGGAGAGATGACCTCACCTCGTGATCAACAATAGGTCACCCCTACACAGGCATTGTCTTGAAATAAAGAATTCTTCAACCCTGATATAACAATTTCTCTTTTCTTTATTAATGAGGAATTCTGACTTGTAATGCTGAGTTCTATTCACACAATACAGAGGGGTCACCATTGCCAACAATGTATTAGAATTTAAAACTGAATTGAACGGAATTGTAATTTTAGTATATTTTTCAATAGCAGAATATAATTCCACTTTGTGTGCATCAAATGGATCTGTAATCTAAGAAAATATATATATCTACTGTAAATGTATTAGAGACATCATCACTGTGTTGTACATAGTCTGGGCACAGAGCAGAGGTGAGGGAGAACACAGCAGGCTCCACCCACTACAGACTGGCTGCAGAAAACTACAGAAGGGGGCGGAGACAAGACCAGTCACCCTGAACAAAGAGAGAGAGAGAGAGAGCAGCAGTGACTGGTCTTTATTACATATAAATGTGTGAGTTTAGCGAGCGCACCTCCTGATCCGGTGGCGTAACGTCAAGGCGTGCAGAGGCTCCTCCTAGACGCGCTTCGTGTAATAACACGTCTCCTGTAGGGGTGATGCCATGGCATCATGGCGCGTCTAGGAGGAGCCTCTGCACGCCTTGACGTTACGCCACCGGATCAGGAGGTCCGGTGGCCATCATTTATATTCACTGGTCAGTGCATTTAAAGAGCTCATTTACACTATACCTGTATAGGTACTCTAACCCTGTACGTTTACTGTTTTATCTTAATGATATATACTCAATAAATACTTTTTATAATACTACACTATGAGCGTTCTCATCTCTACTACCTGGCACTGAGCCTCCACATCTCAGCCCAGCATTCTAGGAGTCCACCAAGGCAGGACAATTTGGGAAATTGGTCCAGATCAACTTCTCTGGCAGCCGTCACATTATCCACCCCCAGAGGGCACCTTTATCATCAGGCTATACCTTCATGGGACCTCCGGCTTCATGGAATTTCTATGTGCACATTAAATTGCACTTCCGGTGAGTGGGCAATTTTTCTACACCTTCATGTTAGGATGCTGGAATATACCCATTTGGATTGAAGTCATTTATACTCCATCACTGGAATATACCTTTTTGGACTGATATTATATTACCTTGGACTGTCTAACATCCAGTTTATGGGATTTTTCCATTTCTGTCATATTTTGTCATACTTTAGACAGTGTGTTTTATTTACATAGCGCTGCACACCCTATGGTCTTTATTACAGATAAGTTTCACATTGGATTATATAGCACTGACATATACTGTGGTGTGTATATCAACAGATCTGGAAAAACTACACAATGCACACAATGATTCAAGAAGAATACTCATGACCAATAGATTTAGACAACATTGGTGTATTCAGAGGTCAGCTTCAAAGTATTTTTTTCTGATGAAACCAGTATATACTGATCACTGTCATATCCTTTACACTTCTCTCCTGTACACACTTCCCACTGTCATACCCTCCACACTCCTCATTTGTACATACTGCACACTGTCATACCCTCCACACTCCTCTCCTGTACATACATCCCACTGTCATACCATCCACACTCCTCTCCTGTACATACATCCCACTGTCATACCATCCACACTCCTCTCCTGTACATACATCCCACTGTCATACCTCCACACACTCCTCTCCTGTACATACTGCCCCTGTCATACCCTCCAAACTCCTACCCTGTACATACATCCCACTGTCATACCATCCACACTCCTCTCCTGTACATACATCCCACTGTCATACCCTCCACACTCCTCTCCTGTACATACTTCCCACTGTCATAACCTCCACACTCCCTCTCCTGTACATACTGCCCCCTGTCATACCCTCCGAACTCCTACCCTGTACATACTGCCCACTGTCATACCCTCCACACTCCTCTCCTGTACATACTGCCCACTGTCATACCCTCCACACTCCTCTCCTTTACATACATCCCACTGTCATATCCTCCACACTTCTCTCCTGTACATACTGCCCATTGTCATACCCTACACACTCCTCTCCTGTACATACTACCCACTGTCATACCCTCCACACTCCTCTCCTGTACATACTGCCCACTGTCATACCCTCCACACTCCTCTCCTGTACATACTGCTCACTGTCATACCCTCCACACTCCTCTCCTGTACATACTGCTCACTGTCATACCCTCCACACTCCTCTACTGTACACACCGCCACTGTCATATCCTCCACACTCCTCTCCTCTACATACTGATCACTGTCATACCTTCCACACTCCTCTCCTGTACATACTACCCACTGTCATACCCTTTACACTCCTCTCCTGTACATAATGATCACTGGCATACCCTCTCACTCCTCCTCTGTACATACTGCCCACTGTCATACCCTCCACACTCCTCTCCTGTACATACTGCCCACTGTCATACCCTCCACACTCCTCTCCTGTACATTCTGCCCACTGTCATACCCTCTACACTCTTCTCCTGTACATAATGATCACTGTCATAACCTCCACACTTCTCCTCTGTGTATACTGCACACTGTCATACCCTCCACATTCCTCTCCTGTACATATTTCCCACTGTCATACCCTCTACACTCTTCTCCTGTACATAATGATCACTGTCATAACCTCCACACTCCTCTCCTGTACACACCGCCACTGTCATATCCTCCACACTCCTCTCCTCTACATACTGATCACTGTCATACCTTCCACACTCCTCTCCTGTACATACTACCCACTGTCATACCCTTTACACTCCTCTCCTGTACATAATGATCACTGTCATACCCTCTACACTCCTCCTCTGTACATACTGCCCACTGTCATACCCTCCACACTCCTCTCCTGTACATACTGCCCACTGTCATACCCTCTACACTCCTCCTCTGTACATACTGCCCACTGTCATACCCTCCACACTCCTCTCCTGTACATACTGCCCACTGTCATACCCTCCACACTCCTCTCCTGTACATACTGCACACTGTCATACCCTCCACATTCTCTCTCCTGTACATATTTCCCACTGTCATACCCCTTCACACTCCTCTCCTGTACATACTGCTCACTGTCATACCCTGCACACTCCTCTCCTGTACATAGTGCCCACTGTCATACCTTCCACACTCCCCTCCTGTACATACTTCCCACTGACAAACCCTCCACATGCCTCTCCTGTACATGCTACCCACTGTCATGCTCTTCACACTCCTCTCCTGTACATACTTCCCACTGACAAACCCTCCACACGCCTCTCCTGTACATAGTGCCCACTGTCATACCCTCCACACTCCTCTCCTGTACATACTATCCACTGTCATACCCTCCACATTCCTCTCCTGCACATAGTTTCCCACTGTCATACCCTCCACACTCCTCTCCTGTACATACTTCCCAATGTCATACCTTCCACACTCCTCTCCTGTACATAGCGCCCACTGTCATACCCTCCACACTCCTCTCCTGTACATACTTCCCAATGTCATACCCTCCACTCTCCTTTTCTTTTCATACTGTCCAGATTCATACCCTCCACACTCCTCTCCTCTACTATACTGATCACTGTATGCTCCAGCCAAATACAGTAATATGAATATTTTTCTTGTTTATTTTTGGGTAAGAGTTAAAGTTTTAATTAGATTTTTTGTGTTTGAGTACATACTGCACACTATCATAACCTCCACGCTCCCCTCCTATACATACGGCCCACTGTCATACCCTCCACACTCCTCTCCTGTACATACTGCCCACTGTCATACTCTCCACACTCCTCTCCTGTACATACTGCCCACTGTCATACCCTCCACACTCCCCTGCTGTACATACTGCTTACTGACATATCCTCCACACTCCTCGATTGTACATACAGTACTGATCACTGTCATACCCCCCACACACTCCTCTCCTGGACATACTGCCCACTGTCATACCCTCCACACTCCTCTCCTGTACATTCTGCCCACTGTCATACCCTCCATACTCCTCTCCTGTACATACTGCCCTCTATAATACACTTCACACTCCTCTCCTGTACATACTGCACACTGTCATACCCTCCACACTCCTCTCCTGTACATAATGATCACTGTCATACCCTCCACACTCCTCCTCTGTACATACTGCTCAGTGTCATACCCTCCACACTCCTCTCCTGTACATTCTGTCCACTGTCATACCCTCCACACTCCTCTCCTGGACATACTGCCCACTGTCATACCCTCCACACTCCTCTCCTGGACATACTGCCCACTGTCATACCCTCCACACTCCTCTTCTGTACATACTGCCCACTGTCATACCCTCCACACTCCTCTTCTGTACATACTGCCCACTGTCATACCCTCCACACTCCCCTCCTGTACATACTGCCCCCTGTCATACCCTCCACACTCCTCTCCTATACACATTGATCACTGTCATACCCTCCACACTCCTCTCCTATACACATTGATCACTGTCATACCCTCCACACTCCTCTCCTGTACACATTGATCACTGTCATACCCTCCACACTCCTCTCCTGTACATACTGCCCACTGTCATACCCTCCACACTCCTCTCCTGTACACATTGATCACTGTCATACCCTCTACACTCTTCTCCTGTACACTCATTAGGAGAAAAATAATACAGTGTGAAAAGAAGACAAGTACAGTGTTAATTTCAAATGTTAAAAAAAAATTACCAAAAAACTCTTTTCATTTTTTTGTTTAAGTGTACCAAATAAAAGTGATATACTGAAGGTCCTTTAATAAAAGCTATAACACAATATATATATATATATATATATATATATATATATACATACAGTATAACACGACTGACACTCTCCTACTAACCTTCACAGCAACCTAAAAACGGGTGGAACATGTAAAATGTTCCCAAAGGTAAACTTATCCTTAACCCCTTGGCGCCGGTGCCTCCCACCCCTTTAAGAGTTTCAGAAGCCAGGAGGTGGGGTGGGATTTTAGGGTCATGTGACCACCGTGATTCGCTTTCATGGCGGTCACATGATCGGGAAAGGTCCCGATCAAAAGAGGAGATCAGGATCTTTCTGTGAGTACCGGACATGTGTGCTGGGAGTGTGCAGGGCGCGAGCTCTCAGCACATGTTTTTCCTAATTGCACGCAAATGTGCGGCCACTCGGCGTCAAGGCCCAGATGCCGGGAGGTAACACATTCGCGTGAGGCCGGCACCAGGAGGTTAAAAGATAAGTTCACCTTTGGAACATGTTACATGTTGCACTCATTTTTAGGGTGGAACATGTAGAATATTCCCATAGCCACAGCCGCAGCCGCGCCCCCCCCCCCCCCCACCCTCTGACAAATAGTACAAGGAGAAGTTTCCCCATAATATCTGTCAAATTTGAAAACAGTGAGACCGTGCTGGGCTCCGCCCACATGACCGCCTCATTCATTCACAGACTTCTGTGAATGAATGATCTGTAAGTCCTGACAGCCTAAGCCGCTGTGGGCTTGTAGATACAAATGAACTACCATGGAGCTGTGGAGCGCTGTAGTAGCTCATTGAAGCTTCCTGTCAGAATATCTGCTTGCTTGTACATCCCTGTATGGCAAGGCGATATTCTGACAGGTCTGCAGGAGACCTGTATGGCATCGATCTACTGATCACTGGTGCAATGCTTTCTAGGCTCCTTTGGTCAAAACAAAATTTACAATTTTTTTCCTGCAAAAAAAGTGCATTATTTTTGTGGAAAATGTGAACTTATCCTTTAACCTCTTTCTGTCCTGCCCATTGCCGATAAACGACGGCAGCACTGCCAATGTGGATGGATGTTTCTAAATATCCTCCGTCGCTGTATGGGACCTCTGCGTGTGGTCCCGATCATGTGATCACTGATTGGCCAATCAGTGATCACATAAATAGTAGTAAACAAGATGTCACTTATGACATCATTGCTTACTACTAGTGAAATCTGTGAATGATCACAGAGATCACATGGTACAGGGCTATTCACAATGGCCTTGTACCATGTGGAAAGTTATGACCAATCACAGCTTGCACAGTATTTTCTCATTGTCTGCAGCAATGCAATACCAAATTTATGTATTTTTAGACAGGTCAATATGCACTTTTCCAGCAATACTCCTTGTATTGCCTTGTATTTTTCCACCAACTCATCTTTCACATAGATTATCAACATCATACATTAATCACTTCCCGTCCAGCCGCTGTATATGAATGGCCAGACAGTGACAGTCCAGGACGGGTTGCCGTTCATAAACGGCGCCCACCATTTTGGATTGTGTGCGCTCCCTGGGAGCGTGCGGCACCGCGAGCTGGTGCCCGCTGTATCCTCCAGACACAGCGGAACACTGATCACTGTACGGGACCACTGTGTGAGGTCCCGATCATGTGATCATTGATTGGCCAATCAGTGATCACATGAATAGGTGTAAGCAAGATGTCACTTCTGATATCATCGCTTACTACGTGTGAAATCTGTGAATGATCACAGAGATCACATGGTACAGGGCTATTCACAAGAGCCTTGTACCATGTGACAAGCTGTGACCAATCACAGCTCACACAGTACTTCTCAATGACTGCAAGAATGCAGCCAGAGACAAGGAGAAATGATCACTTTTACAGCCATTTTGGGTGTAACAGCAATCAGTGTAAAATGAAAAAAAAATTTCATCACCCTCCACAAGTAGTACAGTGTCGCTAGGGTGACAGTATGTTAAAAAAAAAAAACAAAAAAAAAATAAAAATAATGTAATTTTTTTTTTTTTTTAATTATAATTTTTTGTTTATAAACTAATTTGGGTTATTTTTTTTTACTAAAAAGATAACTGAATAATTTTTGGCCAAGATTTATGAAGAAATATTATTTATTTGCAAAATTTTATAAGATAAGACTTTTTTTTCAAAATGTTTGAACTTTTTCGTTTATATAGCAAAAAAAAAAAAATAAAAATCCCAGTGGTGAATAAATACCACCAAAATAAAGTTTTTTGTTCAAAAAAATGCTAAAAAATTCATTTGGATTTGACTGCGCAATTGTCATTCAAAGTGTGACAGCGCTGAAAGCTGAAAAAGGAAGGGGGTAAAAGTATCCAGACATGAAGTGCTTAACCTCCCTGGCGGTATATTATTTCAGATTTTTTGGTGCTGAAAGCTGTACATTTTTTTGCATGGAAATATGTATTTTTTTTATTGTAGGCTGTAATTTTTTAGGAAAAACTCACTGAAATCTGTCCGAACAAGAGTCTAGTAAACATCCCGGGTATGATAAAATTTGAAACACAAAAATAAATTATAATTTAATAAATAATCATATAAAAATAATTAAAAAATAATGAAAAATTTAATTCAATAATATAATCAAACCAAAAACACTGAAATGTGAAATAGAGCGCCAAGTTCGCACATTGCTGAGCTCAGTCGCAAAATCGTTTTCGCTGATGACGAATTTGAATCATTATCACTCAATTCTGTAAGTGGTTCTGATTTACTATCGCTGTTCTCTAGCTGATCTAAACCGCTTTTGACCTAAAGGGACACTTTTTGGACGCCATGGACATTTCTCAGTTTCCAGGCAGAAAGAACAGACAAAATGCAGGCAGGGCGCAGGACAAAGCACTAGGGACAATATGTATGTGAAATAGGTTGAAACAGCAATGTTTTACTGTGTAAAATGAAAAAAAAAAAAAAAAAATTACATTTTTTAAAATTTTTAAATTTCCCACCGCCGGCGGCAGTGCGCCCGTACGTCCCTGTCACAGGGACAGGACACAGAAGCCGGATGCCGGCATCGGCCGGAAATGGCCGGGGACACTGCAGGGGACACATCGTGGGAGCGCAGGGTAAGGTAAGTGAAGAACACAGCGCCGCATGGTATTCCCGAGTGTAGCTCGGGGACCGCTTTTGGTACTGAAATGTTACCCCCCGAGCTACACTCGGGAATACCGCCAGGGAGGTTAAGAAGATCCACAGTGTTAAAATCCTAAATATTGTCAAAAACTCTCTCTGACCCGATCAATGTGGTTCAGTGGACTGCCTCGATCCATCTCTCCCAATGGATAGGGACAATCCACGTGCCCTCTGGTTCAGATTTAGGGTCCCACTCTGTTTCCTGTTGTCAGAGTGGCCTGCTTGGTAGCGTGGCAAGCTGGGCGGTCAGTGAGTTCTTTCCTCTCTCTCTCTCTCTCTCTCCAATTCTGGCTCTGTTTGAGTTATTTGGTGGAGAAACACATATCGACCTTTCTGAAAAAAAGACAAAAAGAAAACAAACTTGGTTTGTTGAATGAGACCGATAAGGAGGAAGGTGGAAGGATCCCTTCAGACGAAGTCCGGAAGTGACGAAACGCGTTAGGGAGGTGACAACAAGACGCACGAACGCTAACCGGAAGTGTCGCCGTGGCCATTTTGTTGGTTACCTACACATGGTGTGTGCCAGTGTTTGGTAAACCTCTACAGAAAACCTTTTGTCAGGGCTGGAAGTTGGTTACTATAATGTAAGTTACTATTAAATTTTATCTATGCTTGGAAATCTGTCTTAAGACTCTTCTTGTCTTTGTGAGGACCTTGGAAGGAGTATACATAAAGGAAGAATGGAAGATTATGGTCCCATATTTTCGATTTGTGCATAATTACTCACAGAGGGTAATAGTACCTAGCACTATTGGGTGTTGTCCCACGGAGTGTTCACAGTGTTGCAGTTGATCACAGAGTGTTCACAACTTGGGGTGTAGTGTATATATATATATATATATATATATATACATATATAAGTTTTGGTTTTTTTTTCACTTTTTTGCATGATTTTGTGTATGCACAATATTGATTTATTTTGAAAATGTAAAAGGTAATGCACTATGGTGTATATTTCTCATTTTTTGAGGTATCATTGGATTAATAGGAGTTAATCCTTCTTACTGGATGGAAATTTGGATCTTTGGACTTTATTGGACACATGTGGGACTTTTGTTGAATTGGACACTTTAGGATTTATGGACTTTATTTAACCTCCCTGGCGGTATTCCCGAGTGTAGCTCGGGGTAAAATGTCTATACCAAAAGCGGTAACCCCGAGCTACACTCGGGACTTACCATGCAGAGCTGTATAG